GAGGAGATAAAAACTGAATCGCTGAGAGAGAGAGAGAGCTCTGGGACATACCAAAAAGTGCATATCAAAACTTCTTCGGGGATTGGAAAAAGCGCCGGGGCCGAGGGAACTACTTTGAAGGTTACAAAATATGAATTGATGTATAAATGAATAATTTTCAGAGGAAAATGAAAATTCACCCTATTTTTAGAACAGAGTAGTACTTATAGTGTGATATGTTGTCAAAAACTGTCCTGAAACTAGTCATTGGCAGTTAAACAATTCTTATCGATATCATTAGTATATTCTAGCTACGTTTTATTTCTGAATATCATTAGAATACTCGTCGAAGTTTCGATACGATGTAGGAATAAAGTAGGGTGTTAACGTTCGATAAAAATCTATCAGCGAATCATAGGTTTCTATACTGAAGATTCAGCGACTTGATCTAGAATGTGATTTAAAGATACTAGAAATGGATCCTGACAAAAAACTCTTGGTTGCGTCTCCTGGACATGAACCGAATGTATTTTCGAAACTTCTTTTTTGGTAAGTACCTAACAAAAATGTATTTGGGATTACTTCAGACCGCTGTTGTCCAATGTGGGATACACTGAATAATTTTTTTTATCCAACCTTTGATATATTTTCAAAAACTGATATGTTTTATCAATTTTCAGTCAATAATTAGGAAATTCAACCTTTCACAATTGCTTCAAAGGAATTAATACGATTATTGTGGAATCTGAACCGCAAACTAAAAATTTTGGTGTGTTTTTATGAGTCAACTTTAAACTGTAATATCCCAGTAAATATATTTTCAATTTGATTGATGCGCTATTTGAAACAGCGTACTTTTTCCAACGTAACACAAGACGATTAATTTTACTACTACAGAATCGACATCGAGCCTAATTTTTCTGCTCAGGCGCCTCTTCATTCAAATGTAATACTATTCTTCATAATCAAGAAACTACTGTATGTTCTTTCATTCTTCGGAAAAAGGTTCTCATCCATATGAAGTTTCAGGCAAGAGTCACAACTCAACTTGTATATCTACTCTATCCACACTGAAAAATTGTCCTTATTGTTTTTCATAAATTTGCGTGAATTATTATTCTTCTTGTCAGCCAAGTCCAAGCCAATTTTCAAAAAACTAGCAATGTTATGTTTGTCAATGTCCTATGACACTTATCATTGTTTATTGTAGTGGGGTTGACCCAGTGAATAGCTTGTTTCCGTAGTTTCTTGGGAATAATGCAGTCGATAATATACAGTGTGACCCATTTTTAATGGAAACACCCCCCTAAAATTTGAAGTTTTAAATCGATTTTAATAATTTTTTTTAGTCGAAAATCGGGATTTTTTATTAGCGANGCACTTTGCGACTATCCTAGTGTAGAAATATAGTTAAGAGCAGAAATTGGCCCTTGTGACAAACTGAAAAAATCATTATGGCCCGAAGGCTTCAAAGTTTGGAGACCCCTGCTCTAAACAATATACGGCTGATCGATCCCAAAATTTATATGAAATAAATATAGTTTAAAAAGAACAAAAAACACGATTTCGTAGCATACGAAACTGAAAAATGGAAAATAAATTTAGTTTGAAAAAAAAACTAAAAAACACGCTTTTAAAAATAACATCGAACTAAAAAGTTGGAAATAATTTTTTTTTAAAAGCTCAAAACAATAACGAACGCTTTTTTTACAATAATAGTAGTATTTTTCGTTCGTTACTGTTTCAAGCTTATTTAAAAAAAGGATTTTTAACTTTTTAGTTCAATGTTATTCAAAAGCGTGTTTTTAGGTTTTAAAACTATATTTATTGGTAGAATAGAGTGGGATACCAAAAGATTTTTTGTGGTCCCAGTTCCTGACAGGAATCCAAAAAAAACTAACAAAAATTATAAAGTAAATCAATTTGAATTTGAAATGTTGATAGTAATCAGTGATGCCAACTACGACGAAACCCTCAAAAGCATAAAATGTAGAGATATATCACCATGAAGCAAAAAGCTAATCAGGTAATTTATAGGAAAAATGTTGATTATCAAACTGAAGGTGATGTGACAATCGAACACTTGTATTTTTCTATGATTTGTATCGTGCAGAAAAAAGTACACTCCAAATGTTGATGTTTCTTCAACCTTCCACACGAACATATGTTTCAGGTAACGCGAAAAAAGAAACAACCGACTTAGAACTAGAAGAAATCAAAGCAAGAATCGACGAAGATGGCTCCGGAAACTTCCTGGACATTTTCCGATCCAGAGGCTTCACCAAGGCCTTCGTCACAGTCATCGCCTTACTGACTTTCCAACAAGCCTGCGGCAGCTACTTGGTCTTCTTCTACAGCCAGACCCTCTTCCAGCAAATAGGAACGGATCTTCCACCCGAGATCTGCAGTATAATCCTTGGAGCAGCGCTTCTTCTGAGCAGTTTCACCTCCCCGCCTGTCGTGGACAGATTCGGGAGACGAAAGACTCTGATGATGTCTACAGTCGGGATTATGGTCTCAGAAACTTTCCTGGGGGTGTACGTTTATCTGCAGGATCAAGGCGTTGATGTGTCTACCTTTAGTTTTCTGCCGCTCTTAGCTCTTACTGTATTTATTTTGATGTACAACAACGGGTTGGGGCCGTTACCCTACACTGTGATGGGGGAAATCTTCCCCTCCAAAGTGAAAGTGCCCGCTTCTGCAGTTGCGGTGTGCTTCAGCTACGTTCTGGGGTTTGTCGTGACTAAATATTTCGAGTTTTTCTTTGTTTCCTTCGGGATGGCGCAGTCGTTTTGGCTGTTCGCCTTCTGCATGGTTTTTTGTCTAGTTTTCGGGCAGTTTTATCTCATCGAGACAGGGGGGAAGAGTTTGGAGGAAATCCAGGATATCCTTCGCAAATGACGCAAGAGAAGACTTATGACTTTAATTGACAGTTGGTCTAATGACTTACTGTGTAATACGAAGACAAAAATAGCAACATTCAGCAAGCAAGCAAACTCGAGAGACACTAAACTACTTGGGCTTTGTAATGCACTGTTTGGAAACTTTGGTGTAGTAATGCATATTACTGGAGTTTTTTCCCAACACCAAACCGTTATTTTAACACCTCGACACGTGTTTTGATCACCAAGTGATCTTCAAGAGGAAGATCAAACTCTTCCTCTTGAAGGTGATCGAAACACTTGTCGAGGTGTTGAAATAACCGTTTGGTTTGGGGAAAAAAAACTTCAGTAATATTCTTTGCTTGGGCTTTGATTCGTCAGATCTGAGTCTTTTTGAATTTGCTAACCAGAAACGAAGAAATAGTAACTTAAGTGCGGAATATACTGTTGTTTTTCAGACGAGTGCAGGGACATCACTTCGAAATTTAACTGGCGGCCATTTTGTCAGCTGTCAAGTGATTTATGTTTAGTTTAGTTTGGCATTTCAACATAAATAGACTGACGCCTAGGCAACGCTTCCAAATTGTGCAAATTTATTTTGAAAATCATGGTTCTCTCCGTTCTATGAAACGTTTTTGCGCCACTTTCACTCTGAATAATAATACGCATCCACAGAAACGTCATACAGTGCGTACAGAATAAGTCATTATTCCAATAGTTCGAACTTCCATTGTTTAATATGATATCAATTGATTTGAAATCCCTGAAAGAATCTGTGAAAAAATTAAAAAGGTTAGCTGAAAAATAAGAATTATTTTAAGCAAAAAAACTGAAATTATAATGGAATAAAATACAAGCAACAACCAAAAAATAAAAATACTTCACGACATTTCGATTGTTAGTATCCACAATCATCTTCGGGTGATAACTGGACTTTTTCCTCAGAGATCTGACTATTTATAGGTCATTCGAGAGCTTTCACCCATTCCCTCTTCACTCTCTTCTCCGCTTCATCGGTTTTAGCGAAAGCTGACCGTTTGGCGGGAGTTGGTCGTGTTCCGCTTGATTAGAGGTTTCCATATGTTGCGTATCTCTACGCTAGTTTGTCTGAATGCTTTGTTGGACGACATATGCACGGCTTCTTTGAATTTTCTCCAAAACCAGTGTTCCTCTTTGTGGATGATTTCAGCTTGAGACCACATGATGTTATGTTGATGAATCCACCTTCAAACAAAGAAGCAGTCATTGCTGCGGTAGAGCGAAGCGTAGGGGAAGTCCCGAATCAGTCTGTCCGCACAGAAATTGGATATGTGTCTCTTCATAGAAGATTTTGCGGAAAAATCTTGGTTTGCGTGCTTACAAAAGCCAACTCGTGCATGAATTGGAGCCACACGATCACCTAGCGAGGCGTAGATTCGGTGAATGGGCCAAAACAATTTTATTTAGCGATGAAGTTCACTTTTGTTTAAATGGATACGTCAATAAACAAAACAGCCGTATTTGGAGTTAAGATAATCCTCAAGTTTATATTAAGACACCGTTACATCCAGAAAAACTGACTGTTTGGTGTGCTTTATGGACTGGTGGAGTCATTGGTCCGTACTTTTCTAAAAACGATACTGTTCAGAATGTTACATTCAATGGTGATCGCTTAGAGCCACGATTACTGACTTTTTCGTTCATCAATTGAACAACCATGATGAGCAGGAACTGTGGTTTCAACAAGACGGCGCAACTGTCACACAGCTCGTGCCACAGTTGATTTATTGCAGGAAACATTTCGTAACCGCAAAGTTTCACGTTCCGGACCCGTGAATTGGCCTCCAAGATCGTGAGATTTAACGCCGCTAGACTATTTTCTGTGGGTATACGTGAAGTCGCTAGTCTACGCGGATGAGCCCGAAACGATTGACTGGTTGGAGGACAACATTCCTCAATATTTGTGGCCGACATACGGCCACAAATATTGGAAAAAGTCATCGAAGATTGGACCTCCAGATTGGACTACGCCCAAGCCAGCCGTGGCGGTCATATGGCCAAAAGTCATATTTAAATTATAATGCCAGAAGATTATCTTTAGAATGAAGTAAAATTCATGTCAATTAAAAAATGTATCTTTGTTTTATTCCATTTCAAAGTTCTATGTCTCCATGTCAGAAGAAACAATTAGTTTTTGTGCTTTCAATAACAGTATTTTCTTTTTGTTGCGTATTGACGAGTTAGTGAACGAAAAATGAACGTTTGCATCATCTGCATATGTATAAAAGTCCATTCACAGACTTGAATGGGTCAAATATATCAGTGGCCCCGGAACCGATGCTTGAGGTACACCACAAGTGTAAAGGATGTTACTAAGTTCTGATGAACTGTTCAACAACGCCCTGTAAGATAAAATTTGATAAACGCGTTTGCCTCCTCTCTTTCATATTAATTTGAGGAATTTTGCGTTTTCTTCTGAATTACTCTGAATGAAATCGATTATGCATGCAATTAATGAATTATATATAATTATGAATTAGGAAAAATGTGTTAATAGAAAGTCCTAACGGTACAAGTGAAGGGAATGATGAATTATAGAATTACAACATTGCATCATTATTTTCCTGAACTACGGTAGCTTTCAGGTGTGAATATCATATTTCCATATCAAAAGCTTGTGTTTTCTTATCAATTTCCATTTCTGTCAAATCGTCCCGTTCTTCTAAAGATATTGAGAAAATTCATAACTCATTAAAGAAACACATTTAGCTGTTTAGCATGTTTACTTTGTTGATGAGAGATATAAAAGTTAGAAGTGTTTCGTGTGTTCCTGCTATCGGAACAATGAATCAGATTTTGTGTAAAAAATAAAAACTAAGTGCTCAAAAACACTTGGAATGTTGACAGTGGCATACGTTGGTTGTACTCCGAGCCAGAAAATTGTTGACAAGTGGTATAAGCTTCTCACAGAAGATCGAGAAGATGTAAATGACGACGCTCACATCAACAACTGATAAAAATATTGATAAAGTGAAAAACAATGTTATGGAAAATCGTCGAATCACTAATATTGAAGTTGCTGAGGTTGTTGATATTCCGATTGGGCCATGCCAAGCAATTTTTTTCGTAAATTTTGGGAGTGAAGCAGCGAAGGCAGAAGGCAGATTTGCTTGAAAGAGAGAAGAGAGGCGATACAACTGCCGCCAAAAGCATATGCAGGAATAACTTCAGTGAAGATTCCTGCACTGACGCCTGTCGGATATAATCCAACATCTTTCGTGGTATTAGCCACGGGAGTAGTTGTTTTCTGATAGGTGTAAGTCCATTAACCTATAGTGTAAGGCTGAACAAATTGTTCCTTTAGATGATTTGATTTGAAGCCACTCTTGAAGTATGCCCGCTGACGGGTGTGTATTTATCCACATCTACAAAGTACACTGAGAAAAAAATATCGCATTATTATTTTTTCATTTACCGACTCTGCACACCTACCAGTCTTCAATACGATACGCTTATTGACTGATTTAGTGAAAAACAGAGCCGTCCTAGTTTATTAAACTGGCTGAAGGGGTGAAAATAGGGTGGAAATATTAAAAAAAAACCGTAACATGCAAAAACGACTTTGTACACCTACAAAATTGAAATATGTTATTCCTGATGATCTACTCGACAGAAAAAACCCCACNACAATACTCTTGAATTGTTTTTCCCATTTTAGATAAAGGCTAGAGGAGAGTATCCAGTTCTTTCGAGCATAGCCTCAAAAGAGCTGGTGGTGTTTTCAATCAACACATATTTGTGTGAGAAGGCATTCTCTACTTTGGTATGTTTAAAAAATAAATATAGAAATAGGCTTAGTGTGAAAGGTGACCTGCGTTTGAAGTTCTCAACTTTCAACCGTGAATCGTAAGCACCAGTGACGGTTCGTGCATTGGAGAACAGGGGAGGTTAAAGTCATAAAGACTATATACACACAGAAAAGCCCGCCGGTGGCGCGAAAATTTTTATGTTGTTGCACACTTTGCTTAATAATAAAGTTAGGGCATGGGCACGACAAAGTGCATGAGGAGCTATGGAGTTTGTAAACCATTCAAATGGCCGGCCATGACCGCAGCCCCATCATAGGTTTGCGCAATTAACTTTTGCCAAAAATTATAGGTGTCACACGTACGAATCAAAAAATTAAACGAATCGTCAGCTGTGCGTCCAGATGAAACATCATGAAAACCCATAAAACGTTCTACCACATTACCATCTTTGACATATCTAAAAACGATTTCAGTTTCATCAATTTCCCATGCAAAAAAAGAAACACTCTCAATCTCCTTGCTTATATTTTCCTTAATAATATATGCCACACTGTCTGTAAGCTCATTTTAGATGGTTTTTGAGGTGCCCGAAAAAACGCTACCGTTTAAAAAAGTGCCAAATTGTGAATCATATTTGCCCCATAACATTAAAAGTTCCTTGTAATTGCCGCGATTAATCGAATCTTCGGTTTCATCGTGTCCACGAAAAGCTAATTCTTGGAAACCCTAATAAATAGTAATAAGTCTTTTTAAATTCGGCCGATTTTCCCTAACCTGACTGTTGAGCTGTATCTAAAGCTGTTGCTATATTTTGTTTGCTAAACAATTTTAATTCACAAGATGAAAATATGTATATGCTCCTTAGATTTAAAATATTTTTCTGTAGAACGAGGTAAATTTTTTATCCATAAAAAGAAAACACTTTGAAAACACATTAAAAAGATTACCAACAAGCACTGCTATAATACAATACTGCCTGTTTCATAAACAAATAACACATATTATTAAGAAACACTAAAACGATTTACCGAAATATTGTTCAGTCCCGTTCCGTCATAGCATCCCGTCCGAATAATTGAATAAAAAACAAACACAGTCGTACACTAATGGAGACCAACTGGAGGCTAGCCTCCTCTAACGCTATAATTTCTGCAACTGAAATTACAAATCGGGACGTATGCCACTGGTTGAATCGGTCTTGTATTTCAAAGCGGTCGGAGGCTTGGCTCCTTTGCAACGTATGGCATTTATTATTTCGGGTTGATGGTTTATTCGCTATTCGTTCATGGGCGGTGCGTTTGAGTTTTGTTGATACAGTGTGGTACGTACTACGTAGTGAGTGATAGTGTTTTTTCGGGCATATTATGTATTCATATTAAAAATTAATGGTGAAGTAATGATGATAGACAAGCAATTTTAGAAAAAAAATAATAATAATTATTTGGCATAACCTTTTAATTTATTGCGATGAATAACCTCAAATTTTATGGGGAGGCTCCCTTGCCACCTCTGACGAGCCGCCGCTGGTAAGCATCAGCTCCACAAGTCACATTAATCACATAAGACTCATTTTCTCATTTTATGGATTTGTTTTGTTTAGAGAATCTGAATTAAAAGTCTTTTTTCGTAATATATTTTATCTTCAATTATATCATCTTTACCATTTTCTCTTAGAGATTATTCCTCAATAGTGAATTTTCTCGATAATAATAATGAAAAAATCATTGAAAAAAAAAACTGGAAACTGTCAGCGCCTGTTATTCGAGATTCGTATTTTCAATAATTTTGATTGGAATTTCATCATAACCAGATGTTGATTTATCCCTTATATCACCAAAAATTTCAAACAGTTCATCAATATTCGTATCATCCAATTGAAGAGATTCATTGATTGTAAAATTTTCTAAATTATTCAGTGGGTCATATGGTACCACAATATTCTGACAGAGCTTCTGTCCAATCGAACAGTAGAATTCATTTATGTCGTCCACACTGATTGGTATTTCAATATCTCTGCTCTTTTCGGTACTATTTCTCAAATCATTTATGTTGATGATGATTATTGCTTGATCTATTCGCGGGCAGATGGCGCTGTACGTAACATCCTTAATATATCGACGTTATTGCTTGATCTATACGCGGGCAGATGGCGCTGTACGAAAATATCAATGGTCATTTCTCTGAACCAGGGGTCTCCAAACTACGGCCCGCGGGCCAAATCCGGCCCGCCAGTGTCATCAATCCGCGACAGCCAATGATTTACTGTCATCAATTTGGCCCGCGACACCCAATGATTACCTAATTGTTGTTACTATTTCTGTGATAAGTTGAAGAAGAAAACAAAGAATGAAAATTACTCGGTTTTATTTACTTGCAAATTTATGCAAATTATCAAATTGTTCCAGTGGAAGACTCTTATAAAATTCCAACAAAGATGAATTTTGATATTTGTTCTTAAGCATATCACTACACCGTAAATCAATAATTTCCATTTATACTTCCGGAGCCAGGGTTTAAATGACAGAATCAAAAGGATTTTGAAAAAGGTTAATTTCATTCGCAATGACATCAAAATCTGAAAAACGAGTATCAAAATTTATCTTCAAAGCACTCAAAGTTTCGATTGCAAAATTGACGGGAAATTCAGTTGCTGTAGTGTGGCTGAATATTTCACATGTTTCAAGATGTGTGAAACATTATTTACGTAATTGCGATTGAAATAGTATTATTTTCTGCCTGAAGGATTTGATATTGGTGTATAAATCAGGGAGAA